ATGTATGAATCTTTCTGGGCAGCACGGTGGCACAACTGGTAGAGCTGCTGCCTCTCAGCGAGAAGGTCCTTGGTTCAAACCCCGGTCCAGGGGCCTTTCTGGGTGGAGTTTGCATGTTCTCTCCGTGCATGCGTGGGTTTTCTCCGGGTGCTCCGGTTTCCTCCCACAGACCAAAAACATGCATGTTAGACTGATTGGTAACTCTAAATTGTCCCTAGGTGTGAATGAGAGAGTGAATGGCTGTTTGTCTCGTTTGTCTCTATGTGTCCCTGTGATGGACTTGCGACCCGTCCAGGGTGTACCCCGCCCCTCGCACAGTGATTGCTGGACATGGGCACCGGCGACCCCCGTGACCCAAAATGGAATAAGCGGGTAAAGATAATGGATGGATGGATGAATCTTTCTGTAACTTGTTTTTATGTATGTGAATGTTACTGTTCAGTGCCCTGAGACGACTTCTGTTGTGACTTGGCTGGATTGAATTGAATTACAATATTAGTTTTATCTAAATGATTGTCTACAGAAGATAATCGCCCAGTTAATCTCCAAATTCATTTAAAAGAAAATAAAACAGATAAATGAACTAAGTGTGCACAGAGAAACGAGCACCAATCAGCTGCAGCACTGGCCTGACCTGCATGATGAGGGATGTGCTTGTAGCCACATTGGGTTCTTTGGACTGCAGCTGACGGTGGGAGTAGTTCAGGCCGTCCCAGGAGGCGCTGACCATGTTGACCACGTTGGCGTGGACCACCGTGAAGTAGGTGAGGCGCCTCGGAGCGATGCGCAGCACGCTCAGGTTGTTGTACAGCGCCGACGCGCTGTTTTTGATCTGGATGCTCTTTTCCTTGTGATACATGAAGCAGCCTCGGTTTAAGTTGGTTGAAGCTTGTGTGCTGCTGATCTAAAAACAAATAAAAAGGAAAAATGAAGGTCACAATAATGGAAGTCGTATTTAAGTTTTAAGCATATCTGTTATTCGCGTGGTAACGATTTAGCTGCAAGCTAAGCATGCTAGCAAGAAGGTAAGCTATGGTGGATAAAATGCTACAAAACGTACAAATATTTAACACTCTGCTCACACCTTTGTTTCAAATTACACAGCGTTTAACTTGACGTCACTGGCACGATTTAATTTATCCTTACATAAGGGAATGAAGCGCTTTACTTAGCAACAAGATTACTTAAGCTCATAGACGTGTACTGTTTGCGTCCTCCGCAGCCATAGAGACGACGTACTTCTACGTATTACGTCATCGTTGCGTGCTCAGTTGCTAAGCAACCGTAAATTTCTCAGGAGTACGGATCTCGTCTTGAGCCACTCTCATCCTGTTAGTTTTAGTAAGTAACATATTATTTTATAGTGCAGTGTTCGTTTCTAAATGTGGATTAGTTTATTTTAACAAGTTTAAATAAAGGTAACTATTTTTTTTTAAATTGTTTATTTTTGGGGACGTTTCGCTTCGTATCGGAGGAGCTTCCTGGAAGATAGCGTCAGTCTGAACTAAAGCTACTAGTCCAAAGCTATAAAAAATACTAAACGTTATATATATATATATATATATATATATATATAAAATAGTCCAAATGACTTCGTATGAATTTACAAGGTCTACCATTCACTGGATGAGCTGGTAGTCTAATGCATCCCTGCTGCAGGTCAAGGATAATGTTTAAATTAATAACAGACATTTTCTGTGATTTTGAAAAAAGTTGCATAGTTAAACTGATTTTTAAATTAAACTGAAATGGAAAAAAATGCCTTAAGAAATAGTCACTGAAATAAACCAGTCAGTCTGTTTGTTTATTGTGGTAAACATAAATCACTGCCAGTCTTTAACGCAGCTGAAGAACTCTCCAACTAAAAAGTGTTATAAGTTCATCTTCTTCTTTTGGCTGTTCTGTCTTCAGGTGTCACCACTGTGAGTCATTCTTCAAGTCTTCTGTTCTCACTAATGTTATTAGTTAATGTGCATAAAGTGTGTAATTTTGTTCATCAGTTTATTTAACATCGTTTTCTGCTATCAGCCCTACAGCCTCCAGTACAGAACTTTTTATTCATCACGTTCAGGTTTCAATAACCCCCACTCATCTGCAAAGAACATTTCTATCTCTCACAGATTTTATTTTATTTTTTCCCCCTGAAGGAATCATCCCAAGGGATCAATAAAGTTTTATCTAATCTAATCTAAGATTCACAGCATGCATGCAGTGTCTTGTTAAAAACATAAAAAAGTCTAAGTATCATTTACTGTCTGCTGACACACAGATATTAATGAAGATCTTTGCAGATGACAGGACTTCGCTTATGATGCAGAGTAAAATTTAAAAAAGAGAGTACTGTACTGTCCTCCACTGCTCCTGATTTACTGACACACTTCATGTGCACAACCGTTCAGCTTCACAAACTGTGGTTGTGTCAGGTTGTCAATCATCCTGATAGATGTGGAAGTCTCAAACTGTAAATTTTGGATTTTTGTATAAACCAAAGCACAGGAACTTTCTTTTGCCTCTGACTAAAATTGAAGAGGCAATGCTGAATCCCATAGAGGTGCTTAATGTAATCTGAGGAGACTGCGGCTGACATCATCTTGGTCTGCAGTCTTGTTTCAGGTATTTCTTCTGCTCAGACGTTGTCTTCACTGATCCTGAATCAAACCAAGGCGCTTGTTCGCTACCTGACAAAAGATCAAGATCCATAAAAGTGGAAAAGGTTTTAAGCTGCAGTACAGTTTTATCACTGTTGTGAGTTTACAATGGAAACAGCATTCTTCAAAACCATTTCAGTTTTTACTTGTGCAATTTTTGTTTTGTCTTTGGTTGCAGGAGACTTGAACCAAGATGCCTCGCCTTGCATCCAAGGCCAAATCTAACAAACCAAAACAAAGACCACCTGTCAAGGAGACCACGCCTACGGAGTCTGAACAGAAAATGGAATATATCATCCCTGGCCGCCTTAGTCGACCCCACTGGAACGATATGTTGATCCAGGAGGAGACAGATGAAATAGTGGGGGGAATTATGGATGAACTGCTTGGCAAAGTCACGGACCGCTGTCATAAGTTAGACATTGAAAGACAGGTAAAATTGAAACATCTTTTTATGTGAATTCAGCTTAATATTCCAAACCAACACTCAATGGATGAGAGATCTGTTAATATGTATTCATTTCAGTCATACACATACTGACACTTATATTTACTTGCGTTCTTTGTTTTTTTTTTTTTGTTATTAAGCTTATACCCTACACTGTATTTTGGGCTGGGGAGTACCTCACACAGACTGTGGAGCAACAGTTCTTGTATCTGGATGAAAGGGAAGGGCCAGAGGAGGAAATCTGTAGAACAGAAGACTCTGAGCCAACGCCTGCAGCTCCAGACTCTTGGGCTGAGGGATGTGTGCCTGTTGTAAAAGCTTCAAACCAACCTCACTGCACATCACAACAGGTGGTCCTTTCTGCAGAAATGCTTTTCAAGTTTATTAAAAATGTGTTTGTATTCATATCTACCATGTGTTTTTAGATTTCTTTATTACAGAAGCTTGACAATGACCAAGTCCCCGTGCAAACAGAGCCAAGAGTAAAAGAAAAAGTGAATGCTTTTGCCCCAACAAACCGCCCTGTACAACAAGCTGAAAGAGAAGCATGGCCCAGTGAGGCTTTCATTGGCCCACCCTGTGCTGAGCCTTGTCCTCGCTCACCAGGAAAAACCAAACAAAAGAAGGAACATGCAAACATACGGCCCAAGATGGTTCCAGTCAAAACACTCTCATCCACTTCCAGCTCCGTTAGAAGAATGCATGACGAGATAAAGAGTGACAAAACAGAAGATCCTGCTTTTAAAGGAAGACCTACATCAGCGTATGAGAAGTGCCAGCCTATACCAAAGCTGGATCCGTCTCGCTTGCCTCAACGTTACATGGTCCCAGAGTATGAGATTCTGGACGACCCCAAAAAACCTGGTGGACTACTCAGACTTGAGCCAACATTAAACAAGCGTCAAACTGAGAGGAAGATAAACTCACCAATCAGCCCCAAGGATCAGCCACAAACATTTTCAGAAAGAAGTGAGGATGGTGTCTGTATGTCCAGTAACAAAAAGGAACAGTGTGGGCTGTGTGAACCTCGCAGGTTGGACCTGAATATTCTGGCCGAGGGTGTTTCTCTCCTGGACTTACAGGATGTTGAGCGCAGCCCTGTAAAATCGAGCAGTCCTTCAGAGTCTACCGAGATGAAGCCGATTCGAAGTGATGCTGCTGTGCCGATGTTTTCAGTTGACCAGGTAACAGCAGGTCCAGCACCTCGACTCATTCCACCGAGTCAGTCCATGAACTGTGACAGAGATGATTTCAGGTGAAGGTACTTAGAGATTATTAGATTTTAGGAGCAGAATGAAATGAAAATATTACTCAAATTCTAAAATGTGGCATTTGTTGGGGGAATGTTTGAAAAAAAAAAATCTTCTAATAAAAGTTATTTATTCTTCCCTAAGTGGATGTGTCACACTACATTCTCAGTAAAACACATAAAACATGAATATTTTCCAAAAAAGTACTTGGTAAATTGCCATATAGTTTACAGTCAATGTTATACAAAGTAATATATGTGTTTGATTTTTTTTACATTCTAGTTTTCAGTTTTGTAAACATTTTAAAATTAAATCAACAATTATGTGTAACTGCTGAACTGTCGCCTGCAACTTAAACTCCAGCACATCATGAGAAATTTGTCTGAACACAGTTTATACGTTTCTATTTACACAACAAAGTCATACGACTTTCAAATGAACCCGTTGCTTGTACTAATGCAGTTAGTCAAACTTTGTTGCAGTTTTCTCAGTTCAGCTGGTTACACTTTGAAGATGACGCACGCTTACTTACAGTTTGGTGGTGTTGGACTATAGCAGGTTCCAAAAGGCTTCTTGAACTAAATACCTAAAAATAAAACTACTTGTAACTAGAGAAACTGCATTTCCTATAAAAATGCATAATGATAGCTGAGTGCTAAATGATTTTCAGAAAGTCAGAGTTAGAGATTCTTTACTGTTGTTCGCACCTCATGTGGTGGAGCGAAATTATGTACACAGGGTCCCAGTTACATCCAACAGTAAAATGTAAAAGAAAAACAGTAATAACATCTAAGATATGAACTAAGAAAAACATCAACTAAAAATACACTAATCACTAATAGCATAAAAACATTATGTCGAACAGCAGCACGAACATGAGTCTGTGTGAGCAGAAGAGATGAACACATCAACATGAAACAGATCAGCAGCAACATGAAACTGATCAGCAGCAACATGATGTGATTTTTCACAGTGATTATTCTGGTTAGAGATTCATGAGTCTAACAGCCTCAGGGTAGAAGCTGTTCCTCAGTCTAGTGGTTCTACACTTAATGCTCCTCAGCCTCCTTCCAGAGGGGAGTGGGGCAAAACGTGTGTGCTGGGTGAGTGGGGTCCTTCATGATGCAGGTGACCCTCTTCCTGTATCTGGAGGTGTAGATGTCTGTGATGGTGGAGAGACTGACTCCAACATCTTCTGTGCAGCCTTCACCACTCTCTGCAAAGCTTTTCTTTCTGCAGCTGTGCAGCCTCCATGTCACACGTTGATGCTGGAGCACAGGATGCTCTCCACTGCACACCTGTAGAAGGAGGTGAGGACTGAACTTCCCAGACCAGCTCGTCTCAGCTGCCTGAGGAAGTAGAGTCTCTGATGAGCTTTCTTGATCAGACTGGTGGTGTTGTTGCTCCAGCTGAGGTTGTTGTTCATGTGTACACCCAAGTACTTGTAGCTGGAGACCACTTCCACCGCAGATCCTCTTATGTTCAGGGGGTGTAGGTGTTTTTGTTCCTTCTGAAGTCCACAGTCATCTCCTTTGTCTTCTTCACATTGATGTGAAGGTTGTTCTCTTTGCACCAGCTCTCCAGGTGTTCCACCTCCTGCCTGTAGCTGGACTCATTGTTTATGATGCATCTCACCACCACTGTATCATTTGCTGAAAGCTGCTTAAAAAGCCAGAGTTTATTTAAAATACATCAATAGCTAAGAATTTGAGATGAAGCTGCAAGAAGCACAAAAAGCAATAAACACCTAAAAATGCAGAAAAAGTTTGAAATAAGGTTAAAATAAGTTTAAATGTGCAGAGAAGCAGTTACAGCAAAAAAAAAAAAAATTTGCTAAAAGTAGTGTGAATAAAGGCACAAGCAGAGAAGAAGCTAGTAAATGCTGTCAAGTTTAACATTTCCTTAATGATTATTAAACTGAAGCTCTTTAAAAGGGGTGATTTTTGACCTTGATGACTTTATTTGACCTGTGACCTTGAAATGAATTCAAAAAATTGATGGTGTCCAGCTAAGTTTGACATTTCTATGTTAAATGGTTACCAAATTACATGTATAGCAATAAAAATAGGTGACCTTTGACCTAGTGGCTCTAATAAACACCATCGCTGATCCATGAAGTGTCCAGCTGTGAAGTTTGACATTCCTACGTTGCACTGTTGCAGAGTTAGAGCTCGGACAAAAAAACTGTCCATGGATTGATGGACAGCAGGCGTTATCGTTGGTGGCCATTAGATTTTTATTTAACCTATAACAGAACACGATGAACCAAAGAGTTCAGATCAGTAGGAGGACGCTTAACTAGTCAAATAAAGCTAAAACCAGCACAGACGTAGACAATCAGAACAAAATGCTGATGAGAGAGAGAGAGACAGAGAGAGAGAGAGACAGAGACACAGAGAGAGAGAGACAGAGAGAGAGAGAGAGACAGAGAGAGAGAGACAGAGAGAGAGAGAGAGAGAGACAGAGAGAGAGAGAGAGAGAGAGACAGAGAGAGACAGAGAGAGAGAGACAGAGAGAGAGAGAGAGAGAGACAGAGACACAGAGAGAGAGAGACAGAGAGAGAGAGACAGAGAGTCATGAACAAGATGAACATTTTGGCAACTGAATAACTGAAATAGCTTAAAACCTGTGAGGTGTCATCATGGGTTACATAAATACCCATATTTAAAAAAAAAAAA